GTCGGGATAGCTCAAGTGGTAGAGCAGCGGCGTATCAAGCCGAAGATCGTGGGTTCGAATACTGCTCGTGCCATTGAATTTTTTTATCTCAACTAAAAACCTTAATTAATTGTATGATATTAATTTGTCAAGCAAACCACGAAACTAGTGAATTTAATAAGTTTAAAATGAAGTATCCTTGACTGAAGCTCTCCGTGGCCATTTCATTTGTCGCCGAGAATCCAATCCGATTACACGACATTTGAAAAATGGCAAAAAGGAGGGAAAATTCAAAATGTGTGGTTGAGATGGGAGGTTGGTGTCCGAGTGGATCGAGGTCGCGATAGCTCAAGTGGCAGAGTAGCGGCGTATCAACCCGAAGGTCGTGGGTTCGAATTCCGCTTGTGACACTAACTTTTTTATTACACGTCATTTGAAAAATGGCAAAAAAGATGGAAAATTCAAAAAGTGGGGTTGAGATGGGAAGTTAGTGTACGTGTGGATCGAAGTCACGATAGCTCAAGTGGCAGAGTAGCGGCGTATCAAGCCGAAGATCATGGGTTCGAATCCCGCTCGTGCCATTGAATTTTTTATCTCAACTAAAAACCTTAATTAATTGTATTAATAATAATCAACGTTTTCTAACGAACTAAGTATTTGCCTGCAAGTAACCATAAATCTTTACTACTGAAAATAAAAATATTTTTATAAAATATAGAGCAAAGTAAAACGCAAATGTTATTGATAAACGATTAAGGGTCTGAAGTGTATCTCGAACCTGCACTACTTCGGTGTCTTTCTTGTACTGTAGCACGCCAACGCCTTTCGATAAGATCTTAACGTGCTCACGTGACGTTACTTTTGCACCGATAGCTCATGTTGTTTAACCGACTTCGATAATTTTGAAAATGATTGTGTGTTTTGGTATATTAAAACAATCGATATTACTTAACCCTAATAAATCAATGAAGATTGTTCAATTAGTTATCATGATCTTAATCCTGATCTCAAGCAATCGGACTAGGATCAATACCACCAAGACGAATCATTTTCATATTACGTTCAAGCATAATTTTTTATATAGATTTAAACCTAGCTAATGGCTGGAGACAAAATTAAATATTTAGGATTCCACATTGGCAAAAGACTTACGAAAAACCTTATACAGAGCTTAAAATAAAAGTCTTGGATAAACTTTACAGGCCATCACTCAACATGATAGGTTTACAAAAAAAACCATCCATAACAACATCCTGACCTACTTAAGGTTTTGATATATCGTAAACACGTTTTTTAACTTACAAGATACTTGTTAAATAATATCAATTTTATTCAAAACAACAAAAAACGGTGCGGAAATACTGAAGCAGGTGATGAATTAAAAGGAGGATGAATAGTTCTGCAAGTAGTCTCTGATTTTTCAAGTTGTACCATCCCATAAAGGCGGTCACGATCACCCCAAATGGAACCGCGCCAAGCTCCATTTGGAGTGCCTGAAATTTGAGGGGGCATTCACGACCGCTCCACAGCCAGTCGCCCCGAACGTCAACCAGTGAATTACCTTCTCAAAATGGATGATCTCTTGTCATACGCTTCTGTTTATTTATATATTAAAAGGAAAAATCGAAGAGGAAATGGGGTAAGAAGTGGCTCCTGAACAGAAGCCGTAATACCCACATCAATTTGATGAAAGATCTTTCCCTTGAACCCGCTGATTGGAGGAACTATTTAAGGATGGATGAAACGTCTTATTTATTCATTATATTTAGTGTTCTATTGACCAAATTACTTCTTTCAATTAATTAAACTTTTTGTAAGGTTTTGGTTGAAATGAAAAAGCTAGTGCCACGGGCGGGATCTGAATCCATGGCATTCGGATAAATACGCCGCTGCTCTACCACTTGAGCTATCGTGACTTCGATCCTCTCCGGCACCAAAAGATAGCAAAAAGAGAGAAAATTCGAAAGGTTGTAGGTTGAGATGGGGAGTTGGTGCCCGAGTGTATTGAACTATCGAAGTCACGACCAAGCTAGCGCTCCAATATTCCACCGTTCACGCCAGGTTTTCGCATTCCTATCCTAGTCTCCCATATAACGTTGTAGGGACCGTAAATGTATGACGTTGGGGATAATTGTTGAAATGGGCACCAGCCGACAAGAACTGTATACAAGGAGTTTTTTTATCATTGAACACGTCACATACTTTTTTTACTTTCCTTTTTTTTCTAACACTGCAAACGATCGACCGTAACCCCAAATCCCGTGGCTCTCTCCGTTATGCCTCCCGCCGTCCTTCTCATCTGCCTCCTCGATCGTCGGAACTCTCTGCCTTATTGATTGTGCATGCACCTTTGGCGGCCTTTATGAAATGGCTTGTACACCTTGCAGGTACCACTCAATACCCGACAACCGTCATTTTAGGCAACTCTAAAATTCTCGAAGCTTAACGCTGATTTCTTCCTTCCTCGACGATTGCAATGGCATGGCATCTTTATTTTAGTGCTTCGGTGCTTTACATTGTGGACATTTTAAATCAAATAATGAATTAAGCTGTTTTGCCTCAGTATCGGGGACAAATACAAAAACTTTTCGTCTAATAATAATTATTAAATAACTTGTAAAGTAATAAAACAAAAATATGAAAAAGAGGTCAAATTAAAAAGACATCAAAATTTCGCCACTTTTTTCTGGTGCGGCGTATATTTTAAATTCGACGTACTAAATACTAAATTCTATTAATTATCCATCTACCTATACCCTAGATATGTATATGTCCACCCATCTTCTATTATTTCACTTTTTGTTTAATAATTTTCCAATTTCATTTGCCAACCAAAAGATTTAATTTGATGAGGATGCACTTTTGGATTCTTGTTGTAAGTCTGACCTATTTGTTATGTCACTTCAACGTCCATAGAATACAATAAAGAATTCCTTTTACTAAGAATTATGAAATCATAATTCAACTTGTCATCTAAACGGATTAAACATAAAGCTATCAGCAATTAACAACCGTTGCAAGATATTCACACCTGATTTCTTTTTATTGGAGGGGTTTAAATAACGATTAGAAACCTTCTTCACGAGTAAATGAGCTTTCACGTCTAATTAAACATTAAAGAGAGTTTCCATAGAATTAGTGGCTAATGATCGGCTTTAAAGGCCCACTGTTGCAAAGTGCAGAGCGGCGTCCCTAATCCCCTGTGGTTAAATGGTTCATAGACGTCATATTATTATGTATTCTAAGAAATATTCAGTTTTGATTTTGATTTTGTTCTACACAAATAAATAATTAAACATTTTATTTAATTATTCGGAAATCGTGAGATGCGGTCTGGTGTGATGTAGGTTTCAGAAAAACATTTTATTTATCGTGCCAACGTTTCGACCTTTATTGAGATCATCTTCAGGGCCTGGGATTCACAAACATTGTTTACATTTAACAAATGTAGGATGTGGAAAAAAGTGAATTTATACAAGTGAAAAAATATTTTTTATATTCAGTCAAAGTATTTCTACTCATTCAAAGTGTTTTTTTTTCTGGGTAATTGTGCCATTCTTGTGTGTCATGTCGAGAGTGCCAGTGAGATATTGATATTTTTTCCACATACTACATGATTTCCTAAATTTAAACAATGTTTGTAAATCCTAGGCCCTGAAGATGATCTCAATAAAGGTCGAAACGGGTTTTCCCATTGTCGGCTCTTTTCACCTCAAAGAAGCCGACTCCTCATAGAAAAAAGGTCTTTATATCCCGACATCCTTCCCCACCACTTCAAAATCCAACGTATTCAGTAATTGTTGCTGTGTTTATCTCTGTTGATGTAAACCATTTCTAAAAAGTTACGTTTATGTTTATTTTGTTCTATGTGTAATATTTTTTACATACTGAAAAAAAAACTTAAACGTAACTTTTTAAAAATGGTTAGAAATAGAATACAAATATTTTAATTGAATATAAATTTTTTTTTGCATTGTGTAAATTCATTTTTTTCCACATCCTACATGTATTTATTAAATTTAAACAATGTTTATTATCCCAGGCCCTGAAGATGATCTCAATTAAGGTCGAAACGTTAGCACGATAAAGAAAATGTTTTTCTGAAACCTACATCACACCAGACCGCACGATTTCCGAATAATCATCGACTAACGGTCACTAATCACCACACATCTTATTTAATATTAACAAATAAAAAACATTTTGAAGTCAATGTTTTTATAAATGGTCCAACAAAATGGAGTAAAAAGTTTCATAAATCGATTATTAATTATTGTTCTAATTACTTTACATTATAAATTTAATATGTTAAGGGTGAGTAAATTCTCCGTTTTTCTATCATCAAGTGAGCTAAAATTGTCAACCATTGTTTTCAGGTGAATCTGAACAGCTGGAAATAATTCAAACACTCCGGAATTTTTACCATAATAATTAAAATCGCTTTATATGTATCAAAATGAAACATCATACATTGTAATAATATTTAGCTTTAATCTAAATCAAGCTCTTCGGAGGGAAACTTAATTTCACGTTTAATACACATCTGGCGAAACAAAAGGCTTAATTCGTTAATAAAATTAATCACTGTTTGTGTTGACTTCGAACAGATATTTTAATGTTGTTTTTTTTTAATTTAACAAAGCAAAACTGGGTCTGTCATCATAAATAAACCAGTATTTTCGACGCTTCAAATGAAAGAGGAAGAAGGGTTATTGAATTATAAATAGTCACTTGTTGCTTTCCTAGGCGAGAGATACTAAGTACACTAGTTAATTGTTAAATTTCTCCTATGTAATTCTTTACTGTTTAATTTAAAGACACGTTAAGGTTTGCCTTGTCTGTTTGGTTAATATTGACCCTAGAAGGCGAACAAGAGATAATAGTATGGATTACTCAATAAAACCACAAGCTACACATGTGACGTATTTTATCATCTTAACCTGACACACATGATGGAGCTGGTTCGAAAATACGTAAATATCTAAAGCGAAAAAGAATAAACGTTAAATGATTATATTTACCTCTTCGGTCAAAAGGCCATTGGGACAATCTTTGAGAAAACCTTTGTGCCTGAAACAATGTTAAAACAAAGTTAAATTTTTCATGTAACTTATCTTATTTCAACAAATAATTTGAAACTAAAAAACTTTTTTATAAAAAGACAGAATGCTTTTTGACTAAGAGACAACCAAGGTGAAGCATAATTTTTTGCAAATTACCTGGATCAAATATTGAAGGTGGTGGCGTCAGTTTTGAGAAAGGTTCATTTTTTAATTTTTTAAACTGCGTATCAACAAAATGGCGCGAGAGAATGCGTGCTCATAAATTATAAGATTTTATTAAATAATTGCATGGTCATGCACAATGGTAATAAAATGTACATATCGTGTCCATTACTATTCTAATTAAAAAAATAAGGTTTTCATGTTTATTGCTCTAGACTGTACGTTGGAGGTCCTAATTATTTGCTGACTAATTTAACTTTTTCAACTTTGTTTTGTCCAATCGAGAAAAATTTATTTATCATTTTTTCTTTTGATTTAGATTTTTTTCTTGAAATAAGAAAAATTTAAAAAAATATATAAATCACATTTAACTAATTTTTAAACCGTACTCACCCTAAAATGTAAGTTTTATTTATGGATTTGAATGTTGTAGCCTTCTCAAACATTGGTCACGAACTTGTTAATCCAAATCTCAAGTCAAACAACATCCTTCACTGTATTATTAATTCTTACAATAAAATCAGAAGAAATAAATCGATTAAAAAGTTTACCCAATTAATTAAGGTTTTTAGTTGAGATAAAAAGTCAATGACACGAGCGGGATTCGAACCCACGACCTTCGGCTTGGTACGCCACTACTCTACCACTTGAGCTATAGTAACTTCGATCCCCTTGGGCACTAACTACCCATCTTAACCCCACCTATTCAATTTTCCCTCGTTTTTGCCATTTTTCAAATGTCGTGTAATCTATTTGATTATCGGCGATTTAGTGAAGTATATTTCATTTTAATTCATTAAATTCACTATTTTTCGTGGTCCGCTTGACCAATTGATATCATCCAATTAATTAAGGTTTTAAGTTGAGATAAAAAAATTGAAGTCACGATAGCTCAAATGGTAGAGTAGCGGCGTATCAAGCCGAAGGTCGTGGGTTCGAATCCCGCTCGCGACACTGACTTTTTATCTCAACTTAAAACCTTAATTAATGGGTTGATATTAATTGGTAAAGCGGACCACGAAAAATAGCGAATTTAATAAAAAGTTTACGTTGTGTAAAACATAATTTTTACACTGTCAATTTCAAACTTTTCATTAGAGTTTTGTTACATTATTTTGGTTGGTTTAAATTTTTCAAGGGNCAGAAAGGGATCTCTTCTAGGACTTGAAAAAATAGCCCTTTCTTGGCCCCTACTCCTATCACTGCTTGAGTGTGTGGAGGGGCATGGCGGTTCATTTAAATCTGAACGTGACATGTGTATATTATATTATTTCCCCGTTTTCCGCATAGCTCACTGATTCTCTCTCACTCCTTCTCTCTCCCTCATCTCTCTCTCTCTCTCTCTCTCTCTCTCTCTCTCCTATCTTTATCTCTATCTATGTATCTGTTGTATCTATCTCTCCGTTACTAAAACACACATACATAATTTCTCTAAATCCACGTTCATTGATAGTATGACCATGTATGAAAAGTAAGTAAAGTAATTCCTGTCATTTATTTATTTATTTATTATAACTCCAACAGAAAGAATCTAAGAGGAGTAGTCAAAAAAAGGCAAATAATAACAAAAAGAACAAATGAACAATTAAGCAATAATAACAAAAACACAAGGCTTAATGATTCAAGGCAAGTAAACATTTTAATTTAAATTTAACTGAATTCAAGGAATCGCGAAATACAAATATTTCATTAGAATATAATTCAGCAATCTCATTATCCTCGGTAGGGATGAATTTAGTCCATTTTCTGTTTTGTAGTGTGGAACAAAGAACAAATTATGGTTCCTAAGTGGTCGCTGAGGCACACACAGCGATAAATGTAAGTTCAGGATATCAATGGCCCCATTCCACAATTTCCAACCCCAAATGAGATCGGCGAAAATACGGCGAGCGTTAAGCGACTCAAGACCAAGCCAGTTCAGTCTTTCCAAGTGATTCAGGTGTGCAAGACCAAATCTGAAGGCCATTGTACTGGTTGCTTTCTTTCGTACTTTTTCCAAGTCGCCAATCTCACCAACGTAGTAAGGGGACCACACGACACTTGCATATTCCAGATGGCTACGAACGAGGGATTGATACAATATTTTAACTGCCAAGATGCTTTTAAAATCTCTAGAAAACCTAGTAATCAAGCCAAGATTGCGTAGAGCCTTGCCTCGAATCTGTTTGATATGGTCACTGAAATCACCCTTTCTACTGAAAACGACACCAAGGTCGGAGATAGTAGATAGTCATGTAGAATTAACGTCCTACACGTTGTATGTCGCTAGTCAGAACCACTTTAGGATACATTTGCCAGTTTCAACCGAAATTCTTCAACTTTCCGTGATTCTAACGAATATCCATTGGTGTGGCTAATAACGGTCAGAAAACCACTCAGCCTCCTCCGTCCGTCATATTACGCTATATACTATCAAGATTTTACCTAACTGTGCGGGATAATTTCTAGAAAGTTTAAGCGACACTTTTTGAATCGCATCGCATTCGCGGGCATTTGAACTAACCCGGCGTAGTATTGGAGCATTTTTTTATTGGTACCATCGTAAAGAACTAGATTTAGGATTGCCGCTTATATGTCTTAATTTTGGAAAATTAAAACGATTAAACCGGACAAAGATGAAAAGAGATTTTATTGAAGGAAATGTTTGATCTTCCTTTAATGAAATTGGGGTTGAGGATGGATTTTGATTTCGGAATTTCATGAGTTTATCCCAGAGTGAACTCGAAGAATTGCTTACATTACAAACCACAATTGTTTATATTTACATTAATGACAATTAATTAAGATTTTTAGTTGAGATGAAAAAAAGTTAATGGCACGAGAGGGATTCGAACCCACGATCTTCGGCTAGATACGCCGCTGCTCTACCACCTGAGCTATCGTGACCTCGATCCACTCGGACATCAACT